TAAAGAAAATTTTGGAATGTGCTGAGATGAGTAGATTGACTTTTGAAATTAGAGAGCAAGAAGATAAACAATTTTATTTAGTTTGGGATCTTTTCTATCAATGGTTGAATGATGAAATATTAAAATATAAAAGTTAGATAATAAGGAATAATAATGACTTTATTTTCCCTTTCCTTTTATTGGTTTTTGATACTATATTTATATAATAGTTTTCTTTGTTTCTTTCTTTTTCATATTTGGGATAGAATTGGTATGATTATAAGATTTGTTTTAGAATAAAATATTTAAAATATAGTTATCTCATAAAGGCATGACCGAATAAAAGTTTAGTCAAATTTTTTTTTTTTCTCTTTAATAGAGATACTAGGATTTATAAATTTGTATTGATAAGAGTATTATATAAAGTAACTGTAATTGTGACTATGAGGTGAATGCACAAAACCGATGGACCAACCGACTTACGGTGTGTACAAAAATATGGGGGAGCTGATACTTTTATGTTTTGTTGTTGTGTTTTTTATGTTAAAAAAATAATAAAAATTTATATAAAAAAAAAAAAAAAGGATATCCACGCAACATTTTGTCTGCTAGCGATAATCTAGTTGACGGGCTGCAAGAAGGAACAATGAAGAAATCCAAGTGCTAATTGTGTTAAATTAGAAGTGTGCATAGGAAGGAGAATTGTCACAAATCAAAAGCCGTAAATTGAGGTTCACTGATCCTTAAAACCTGATTGCTTATTATTTATGCTGTCTTCCTTACAAAAGATTCCTTAAATATGCCAGCAAGTGGGGATTTATTACCCAAGTAAATTATGAGAAATGTTTAAATTATTTTCCCCCAAAGCCTGCAGTATTTGCTGTGCTATATAGTATCCTAAACCACATTAATGTTAAGTCCCATTTTATCTTCCAGGAGAAGAGACAGCCTTTGAAATTTCCTACTCCTTGGTGGTTCTTTCTGCCGGCGGCCTCTTAGTTTTGATACTACTGCTTGTCAACTGTATCTCCTGCTGTAAAGATCAAGAGATTAACTTCAAGGTGAGTAGTATCAAGAAGTCCTTTTGTACAGGTAGTCCTGAACCACAAATTGATTGAGCCCAAAACTTTCTGTTCCTAAGCAAGACACTTATTGAGTGCGTTTTGCCTCGTTTTACAACCTTCCTTGTCTCGGATATTAAGCGAACCATTGCCATCGTTAAATTAGAAACACGCTTATTAAGGGAATCTGGCTTTCCCCATTGACTTTGGTCCTCAGAAGGTCGCAAGGGACGGGCACATTGCAACCGTCATAAATGTGAGTCAGTGTCATTGTAACTTTGAACAGTCACTCAATGAACCTGTGTACATTCATGTAGGGGGAAAAAGCGAAGCAAAACCTTTTTGACAGCCATACCCATGTACCACTTAAGCTATGCATATATTTTTAGTGTTAACTTATGGTTGGTTTGGAGTTATTTTTGTGCTACGGTGAGGCGTGCTTTGCATCTCGATGCTGTGTTTTAGCCGTTCATTGCTATTCTTGTATCTTAAAATGTGTAAGAACCTTTGGAAATTATACGTCAGTTAAAAATCATTCTTTTAGCAAAGGAAACACATTTATCTTATCTCGGATAAATGTGTTTCACGGTGATTTTGATCCTGTGTCTATTATGCTATGCTGTAAGCCCCCCAGAGTCCTTTGACACAGGACTGTCAACAAATAAATTTCATAATAAAAAATAAACAAATGTATTGAAATTATAAGATCTGCTGCCTCTGCAAGTATAGGTACTGACATGAGGGGTCCTTGGTCCTCTCTGAGCTTGGTTGTTTTCTTGCAGATGTTTCACTACCCAAACCGGGTAACATCATCAGTTCTAGAAGGGAGACAGAGCAAACCCCACTCCCTTCTAGCACTGATGATGTTACCTAGTTTGGGTAATGAAACGCCTGCAAGAAAACAGCCAAGCTCAGAGAGCACCAAGGACCCCTCATATCAACCCTGAGCTACAAATATTCTCCTTTATAGGTACTAACCTCACAAAGGATAAGGTATCTCTGGGTGGCTGAACATTTGTTTCTAGTAGTCCTAACTAGTGCGGGAGATGAACAGTTGATGTTTACCAGCATCTGGGAGGCCACTGCATTCAAGAAATACATCATGTGTTGAATGAAACACTTATCTACATCAAGGTTCTCAGCCTTAGCAATCTTAAAATGTGTGAACTTCAGGGCTGGCTGGAAAATTCTGGGCGCTGAAGTCTACATGTCTTAAAATTGTTGAGGTTGAGAAACACTGCCCTAAGCCAACCCAACGTTGACGAATCTTTTTCTTAACAAAAGAATAATGTGTATTCTTCTATAAAACATGGCATTATAGCATTAGTAATTGGCTTAGGAGCATTTGATGTCTGAGATCTATGTCGTGTTGCAACTGGGTTTGCAGTATAAACTGGGTTTGGCTTGTCCTATGCAAATCACGTTCTTTGCGTAGGGCATGTCCCTGTTAGTCTGCTAATCTCTCTGTCTTCATAGGAATTTGAAGACAATTTTGATGATGAACTAGACTTCACCCCACCCGCAGAAGACACCCCAACCATTCAGTCTCCAGCGGAAGTGTTTACCCTTACGGTACCCAGTGTTTCTCTCCCAGCTCCATCCCAGTTCCAACTTCCAACAGGTATGAACATCGTCCCAATCCGATAATTGCCTTTCCTCTCCCGTTCCCTCCGGTATGCCATCATGGCACCGGTTGGTTCTCCGATATTTCTTCTTGCTATTCTAGGCACAGATTCCATCTTGGGTATGCTCACGAGAGGGAGACACGCTTACTTTTGAGGTTTTGAGGCTGTTGTGCCCCCAGCACAGGGTCTTGTTACAATCATTGGCGCGGATACAACGTGGAGGATGACTTGATCAGTTAGTTAAACACTGTGGATGTCTAATACTTAAACATTGTGGATGTGCCTTTTAAGAAATCTCACTTGACTCGAAAGGATGGTCGTTAAATCTGTTTGAGTTCAGTGTGGTTTTACCCTCCAGTATACCCCGTTGGGTGGTGGAGACAGAAGCGGAAGTTGCTTTTTTTCTAAGCCTGAATGAGATCAGGTTTGGCGGATAGGAAATTTGCCTCTATTTTGTTTGGGGTTTTGTACCTTGATGAAAGTCACAGTGAGGAGGTGTGCCTCAGCTACTGAAATCACTTGGTCTCTCCTGGAAATGTTCGTGAAGCTGGATGCCGTGTTCATAACTACACAAAGGGCTTATGGAGTGGTGGAGGGGTCTTTCTAACACAGGAAAAAAGAAGCTGAGGACCGCTGTCTTTCCGTTTGCAGAATATGCAAGGAGAGCCAAAGTAAAGCGGTGTAGGACCCCGCTACGGTCTCAGTATATTGTATGAAAGAGGCCATGGTGCTATACCCTAATATAGAATATTTGTTTGAGCGTTATATAATTACAATTATTATGTTACGTTAACTGTTTAATTAGAATTTAGAGTTCAATGTGCTACATCAAGTCAGTCTCAGTAAATATAGAATGGAATGGAATGGAATGGAATAGAATCAGAATAGAATTAGAATTAGAAATAGAAAAAGAATTAGAATTAGAAATAGAATAGAATAGAATAGAATAGAATAGAATAGAATAGAATAGAATAGAATAGAATAGAATAGAATAGAATAGAATATGGAATGGAACATGTAGAGTTGGAAGGGACCGTGTAGATCTTCTAGTCCAACCTCCTGCCCAGGCAGGAAACCCTACACCACCTCAGACAAATGGTTATCCAACATCTTTTTAAAAACTTCCAGTGTTGGAGCATCTACAACTTCTGGAGGCAAGATATTCCACTAATTAATTGTTCTAACTTTCAGGAATTTTCTTCTTAATTCTAAGTTGCTTCTCTCTTAATTGGTTTCCACCCTTGCTTCTTGTCCTGCCTTCAGGTGCTCTGGAGAATAGCTTGACTCCCTCTTTCCCTACTCGGTGGAACCAGAAGGGTTTGATTCAGAATGTCATTGGTAGAGCGGAAGGAATACAAATATTGGGTTGTATCCAGTGGCCTCATTTCACTGGCAGATGCTGTTACCTCAACAGAACAATTTCTAATCTCACTACACATCTCAAAGCAGATGTTGGAAAGGAGACATGGAGAATGCCAGGAAGTCTGCTCAAACAACATTCAGTGTGGCTTCAAATTACTGGATAGGGTAGGATAGGACAGGACAGGACAAATATGATTTTGTATTGTAACATAGGAGTTACATTGGATTTCTCTGAAAAATCGTTTATCTAGCCAGATAAAATTTTAATGCTTCTTTTAATGTGTTTTCTTTCTTTCTATCACAAGACCTGAAATCTCAGGTGGCTCGTCAGAATTTAAATTATATCCAAGAAATAGGAAGTGGCTGGTTTGGAAAGGTAAGAAATCTGTGCCCTGAGTATTACAATGCTTCTGTTCATTTATCTGTCGCTTAAAATATTTTTAGTGGTAAAAGTGAACCCACCGCAACAAATCTCTTGAATCAGTTTTGAAGTATAAGCTGGCCATCTTCGCCATAAGAAGCTTTAGAGGAGGGATAGTCCAAGCTTGGTCACCTTTAAAACCTGTGGACTTCAACTCCCAGAATTCCCCAGCCAGCCAGCCATGCCAGGATTGTTCTTCTCTTTGAAGTGGAACTGAGGTTTGATTCTTTTGCTTTTCAGGTTCTGCTGGGGGAAGTTTACACTGGCACTAGTGTAACCAGAGTCATCGTGAAGGAGTTAAAAGCCAGTGCCAACCCCAAGGAGCAAGAGCGGTTTTTGAGACATGGGGAGCCATATTTGTGAGTAGCCCCTTGGGCCTTTGCTAAGGATACATTTGGAGCGAGTAGGACTCCGGCAACGAACCTTGGCCTCCCCAGCCTGGCACGTCTTCCATTCCCCAAAAAATCTCAAGCCAGTTTAATTGTGGGAAGATGAGCCAAGAGTTCTGGTTAGCTAACATTTGGGAATAGGAGGACGTATACATGTTTGCTAACGGCATTCACACCTGCAAACCGTTTCATTGTGTTCAGTTTCAAATGTTTTCCAATATATCAGCGGACCGAGAATCATACTCCTTTCTCCCCCCCCCCCTCCAAGTTTCAATGTCACGAGCCACAAATACAAACCAATTGTTCCTGATCTTAATTTTTCTTGTCCGGACTTTTCTTTACAGTATCCTTCAGCACCCCAATGTTCTCCGCTGTACCGGCCAATATGTGGAAGCCATTCCTTATCTGTTGGTATTTGAATTTTGTGACCTGGTGAGTAAATGAAACCTCAGTTCGAGATCTACGTGGGTTTGATGTCTGTGTCGCTGGTGGTTCCCTTAGAAATTCTGCGAAGTTGAGGAAGGTCCTTTTTTTTATTTTCTTCTCCTGGAGCAGTGAGCTGGGGAAGGAAGCACCGTTGGGTGATAGCCTTAGGTGAGAGGAAGGCCAAACGACCTGTTGCTCTTGTCCATGGCTTCACCTGAACCCTGGCTTGCATTTCAGGTAGCTAGAATAAACAAGGCAAGTCAACAATAGAAACAATTAACTGGTCTGATAAAATAGAATAAAGGTCAGTTGGAGATCTGCTAAGGTAGAGGTTGTTTTGCAAGGCAGATTGGTCTTCTAACATCTTTTTAAAGTTTCAATACATTTGCATGCAAACAGAATGTATTACAATCATTATTCAGCGACATGATAGGGCAGTTGCATTTCCTAGCAAAGCTACCTCCCTTCCAGATTCATCTCTCTCTCTCTCTCCCTCTCCCTCTCCCTCCCCCCCTCCCCAGACCTCTGTCTGAAATACACAAATCTAGGTCGCTCTGCCCTCTTTATACTAATTCTGTAATGATTTCTTGCATCTCTGGAGATATTCAGTACTAATTATTTTTCATTTAATTTCCTGGCCTCTGAGGGAGGGTGACAGAGATCGTGTAAAATAAACTGGCATTATCTTTTTTTTTTTTTTTTAATCCCCTTCTGGTGAAAAATGCCTACTGCTTGGAGATACTTTATTTGCAAAATACGGTTCTGATAATTCAGCTCGTTCGCAAGAAGCTTTGGCGTATTAAACCTAAAAGAAAGCACTTTCTTAACGTTCTTAATGTTAAATAGCAGCAGAAACCCCAGTGATCCTGGACTTTGATTCTGTGCACGTGACTCATACAAGGACTTTGCTTCTCAGGACATAATGTGATGCAATAAACTTTGCATACGAAGGGGCTGGAGTCCCATAAGCATACCTGCTCTTTTAATTATGGCCACTGGAAGAAACTGCTGCGGTGCTGTCTGTTTTAGTCAAATTCAAGCTTGCCTTGGAAGCGGAAGAACATAATATACAGCAGCTGCGAAAACACTTAGCCCGTTGCACATATGTGAGAAGAGTGTAGCTTTGGAAGTGAGAAAAAGAGTGGGAGGTGATGGTAGTGTTAATTTGCATTTGTGCCCCTCAGCCCTACGAACACATACATTTATAGCTGCAGCTACACGCAAGAACGTTCGTAAAATGAGGTGGTAAAATATTCTTCTGACTTAAGCAGATGAGTCCTGGTTACTTGGCTATACAGTCATATTCCCACGTGGCAGTTGGTGTTGGCCTTGCAGAGCGGTTGAGACAGAATTTCGGAGCGGTAAACACGGCCTGCTTTGTCAGCATTAGTGGGATGCTCTGATTTATCTGGGTCTAATTAATTTATCTAGATATCTGGTGATGATGTCGTTATCCATTTGGTTGTGTCGGACTCTTGGGTGATTCTATCTTCCAGTCTTGCACTGCCTCTTTGAGTTGTCACCATGTTCTTTGGTTGCCTGGTTTCCTTTTACAGCTAACTCCTCTTCCAAACATTACTATTTTCCCCAGTGAATTCCCCCCATATGATATGGCCAAAATAAGTAAAATGCAGTTTTGTGATTTTGCTTTAATGCAATGCCAGGGATTTTCAATTCAGTGTATAGAATGTGAAGGACATGTGTCTATGTTTATTTTCATAGTCATAATGTGCACTAGAGATGGAATTTAATTTCGTTGTACAGGTGCAATGACAATAAAGTAAACTGAACTAAACTTTCTAGAGACATGTCTGGTGTTATGAGCCATGGTGGCACAGTGGTTAGAATGCAGTATTGCAGGCTAATTCTGCTGACTGTCGAGTGCCAGCAGTTTAGCAGTTCGAATCTCACCAGGCTCCAGGTTGACTCAGCCTTCCATCCTTCCGAGGTGGGTCAAAGGAGGACCCAGATTGTTGGGGACAAGAGGCTGGCTCTGTAAACCACTTAGAGAGGGCTGTAAAGGACTGTGAAGCGATATATAAGTCTATAACTCCCTCCCTCCCTCCCTCCCTCCCTTCCTTCCATCCATCCATCCATCCATGCATCCATGCAATATTGCAGGGCTGACTCTGCCCACTGGCAGAAATTCGATCCTGACCAGCCCCAGGTTGATTCAACCTTCCATCCTTCCGAGTTCAGTAAAATGAGGACCCAGATTAGATTGTTGGGGACAAGAAAGAGGCTGACTCTGTGAATCGCTTAGAGAGGGCTGGAAAGCCCTGTGAAGTGGTATATAAGTCTTAAATGCTATTGCTATTGCCATGCAATAGCCAATCACCTTGTTAGTCACCTCTTGTTTAGCTATGCCTAAATTAGAGTTTCTGGTCTTTTCTAAATGAGCAATTGCTCTCTACTCTCCTTTTGTCTAGGATGATTGTGTAGTAAGCTTCCATGGAACCACTTCATCTATAATTAACTGAGGGTGTTTTGTTTCCTGTCTGTCATCCAGGTTACCCTGGGTTAAAAATAGGGTAGTAACTAGTTTAATAGCAGTAATAAATTAGCTGATGATATGTGGCCAGTCGCCACACCAAATTCCTTGTTGATAGAAGGATGAATGATGAGCCGAGATTTGTATTATAAAGCGGTGCTGCTGTTTCCATTGCCAGGTTAGCTCGCTTGGCAAGCCAGTCTGGCTTGTGGAGGAAGTCTCTGGTTTTAGTCGCCTGGTACGGAAGGCGGAAAACGAGCTTTTTGGTCTGTGCTGGTGTCCTATTTCTGTTACTACCGATGAGAGAAAGAGAAAAACAAACTATAAAAAAATTAGAGAAATAAAAAGACGTCCAAATAAAAGATCAAACAAATGTGGAAAAAAGGAAGTTGTAGCAGTTGCCAGTTTTGGCTGGAGCAATTAGTGCTTTTCTCAGAGATCTGAAAAGCACCGTCCTATAACTGCACGTAGTCGCTAAATGAAGCATGAGGCTAAATGAGATGCCTTCCCCAGATGCCATGCATGGAATTGTCAAAGATTAGAAAGACGCCCCTTCAAGCCCTCCGTAGCTAATTAACAAGGATTGCTCTGGAGCTGTTCCCAAGGGAGGCCTTACGTCCTCTGGGAGGCCAGTAAGCGAAGCAAATACATCCTTGCCCTGCCTGCCTGCCTGCCTCTCTGTTTGCTAATGAGAAAGAAAGCCTGTAATTAAATCGAAAAACAGGGATGTCCCTGCCTGCTGTGCCTTGAGCAGCCATGTCTTAAGGCTGTGCCTTTCACCGGGAATTCACCTTTAGCAAATCAGACCGTCCGCCCTCTCAACACACAAAGGCAAGGGAGGCACATTACAGGGCCTGGCAAAGCTTCCAATTCAGCCCCCCAAAAATTGCTTTGGAAGGTGCAAGGACGCCCTCGTCTGTAGCCCCTTAAAGCATTTGTCCCAAAGGTACTTTCCCAAAAGGTCCAAGTGGGCTTTCTTCGTTTTTGTTTTCCTTGAAGATGTTTCGCTTCTCGTCCAAGGAGCTTCTTTGGCTCTGACTGAATGGTGGAACTGAAGAAGCTTGTTGGATGAGAAGCAAAACGACCTGAAGGAAAAAAAAAAGGAAAAAAAAAGTCCGCTTCACCTTTTGGAAAAGCGCCTCCGGGACAAACCATGACCTTGGATGACTGACCATCTCCGTTGACCTTAAAAGCAATTGAGTCTTTTTCTGGAATTGCACGTGCCTGCTTGGAGGGGTTGCAGAGAAGCACTTTGTTCATGCTCCGAAGCCCCTTTTGCAAGCCACGTCTTTGTGTGATTCTTAGCTTCTACAGCTTGTAGGGAAAAAAAAACAAACTGCTGTACATTTTGATTTTGATGCATTTAGAGTCAAGGCCTCTAAGAAAAGTAACTGATTTTTAAAAATGAATAAATGGACTTTAGACTTCACAACACGATGATCCTTAATTTGCAAATCCGTAGCAAGTCCTTTCTTTTTTTCCCCTCTTCCTTCTGGAAAATTGTCTTTTTTTTTTAATCTAGTGTTGCACTGCCCTCTAGTCAGTTCCGTTCAGTGTTTCTTTCACTTTGGTAGCCAGCCTAATACCTTACTAATGTCTTTTTGGCTCCTAGGAAATATTTTAATGTTATTCTGAACCCGGTAACATTTTAAGTCTTCAGACAATTAAAATCTTGTTTGAAGTGCTTTTGTGGCTGCAACATGCTGTTTATGTGTCTGGGTTGAAACTTATTTCTCTGGAGCAAATTCTGATTTCATCATGTTATGTTTCTGAATCTAATATTCCCATTTCAAAAGATTTCAGAAGACTTGAACTATTATTGTGGAACTGCAAAGCCCCAATATAAGCTTTCTTTGCCCAGCGATCACAACTGCTACCTTTCCAACTTATACTTTTTCCTCTCTTAATTCCTAATCCTTTTTCCTTCCAAAGAAAAGCGGTGGATCTACTTTTTCATCTTCCTATAATCTTAAACCATGTGGTTCATATCTAACTGTGTAGTTTTAACTGCTGGATGGCTTGAAACCATCATGTTTTTGTGTGTCTCTTGCATGCTACCTTAAGGGACTTGAAATTTAATGACAGTGCTCTCTTTAAGTACCCGTTTATTTATAACTACTACTAGTGATGTTGTTGATGGCCAGGGACTAAACTATGTGTTTAGTTGCTGTTTTCTTAAATACCTGTTAACTGCCCTTGGCAGGAGAGGCTGTTTATAACCATTCTCAAATTGGTTTTACAGGGTGACGTAAAAACCTATCTTTGCAACGAGCAGGATAACATTAAAGGAGACTCTCAAATAATGCTGCTACAGAGAATGGCCTGTGAGATTGTGGCGGGGCTCGTCACGATGCACAAACACAATTTTGTGCACGGGTGAGTCTTTAAAACCCCGAATCCCCTGTAGACTTATATAGACTTAGTGAAGTCTAGTGTCATGGAGAGCTGGGGAATTCTGGGAGTTGAAGTCCAGGCTTCTTAAGAGTTGCTAAGATCGGGGAACATTGCTCCAGATGGTGCTGTTTGCTAAGATTGACCTGAGATCTCTGACTCAAAGGATACTAAAAGTCCACTTGCAACACAATGCTGATCCTTCAGGTTTAAAATAGTGAGGCAAACATAACTGTTGAATGGCTGTTGCTATGGCACTTCAGAACCAAGCTGAATTTACAGCTGAAATTTAACATTGCGATCTCAAAGATAGGTTTAGTAGCATTAGTTACGTTCTTGAATTTTCTCGTTTCATCTTGTGTGCAGCTTTTGCTTTTTTTCTCATCGCAATATTCTGGGTTGTTTCTTCCTTTCTTTTTTTACAGAGATTTAGCTTTAAGGAATTGCTTCCTCACATCTGATTTAAATGTAAAAATTGGAGATTATGGAATAGGATTCAGTAGGTACAAGGTAAGTCAACACACAAGTAGAAGTGCTTCAGATTAAAAACCCGATTTCCATTTTTATTTAAAACCCTGTTACTCAGTTGTTGGGATATTTCATGTAGCAGCCAATACGTTTATATGTGTACTGATATTGATTTGCAAATGATTATTAGATATTGCCATGCTGATCTAAAGTATCCCCGTTCTTCCCTTCCTAACTGGTTTGCTGACATTTGGTGTAATCTTTTGGGTCCGTGTTGACTCAGGGCAACGCTAAGGAAGGTGTGCAAATATATCCCCTCCCCCTTTCTAATCCTGTCTGGATGCAGCTTAATGAGGCTGGTGCATTTTCCTTCAGGGAGGAAAGATTTCCCTTATTGCTTAATCTATGAAGGCCATATTCCAGAAAATGCTACAAGAATACAGTATGCCCAAGAACGTTTTTCTGACCGAGAGAAGAGAATGTGTGTAGCTCAACTGTGGGGGTCCTTGGTATTGTGTGAGCTTGGTTGTTTTCTTGCAGACCTTTCATGACCCAACTAGGGAACATCATCAGTGCTAGAAGGAAGACAGAGAGCAAACCCCACTCTTTTTTAGCACTGATGATGTTCCCTAGTTGGGTCATGAAAGGTCTGCAAGAAAACAACCCAGCTCAAACAGCACCACAGATCCTGCAGTCTTCTTCCTCCTCCTCCTTCACTCTGCAAATCTCACTCCCTTCTAGTACTGATGATGTTACCTAGTTGGGTCATGAAACACCTGCAAGACAAACAACCAAGCCCAGAGAGCACTAAGGAACCCACGTATTCTTTCTGATCTTTTTTTTTTAACTGTTTATCATATTTTTTTTTTCAGTTTTGCAAAAAGCCAGGAAGGTGGGGAGGGATTTCTAATTCCACTTTCCAGTAGTGGAAAAAGTCTCTTGTCTAATAGATCCAGGGGCGGGTTCATCTAAACAAATGGAAAGGCGTTTGATACGGCCTTCCGTTTAAGACGTGGCTTTTGAATGTCTAGGAAGATTACATCGAAACGGATGAAAATAAATTCGTACCCCTCCGGTGGACTGCTCCAGAACTGGTGACCAGCTTCCAGGACCGGCTGTTAACAGCAGAACAGACGAAGTACAGCAACGTCTGGTAGGGAAATGCCAAAGTTACAGGGAGGGGCGGGGAGGAAGAGTGGCTTCGTAGATCCCAAAATCAACTAGAGGATTCCATAACTTGGATGTTCATGAAACCCCAATAGCTCCAACATTTGTCGCACTTATCTGACGATGAAAAAAATTGCCTGAATTCTAAATACTGGTAAACCGAACTAAACTGCCACTGTAAACAAAATCCCCCCTCATAAGGGCATTGTTTTCATCCAGTCCTATAAATTAAGTCTCCCACCCCAGCTGTATTTTAAAACTTAAGACCCTCTACGCTGCAGTTTTTTGTGATGCAGAGAGGTACAACGTGAGTCCACTCCTAATATTTCTTGCAGCCTGCTCTCAGGTAGTAAATCCCCTGAAAATGTGAACAGTGAGGGGCAAAAAAGCCAGCATTCCATTAGCCCTTTTGTGAACTGACCTCTTACTGAAGTCTCCTCTTTTGTCAGGGCCTTGGGAGTGACACTGTGGGAGCTTTTCAGTGGCGCCGCGAAGCCTTATTCTGAGCTCTCTGACGAGGAGGTTTTGACACAAGTCATCAAAGAAAAACAGACCAAGCTGTCGCAACCACCCCTCGAGCAGCCCTCTTCCGATCGATGGTAAAAACACCACGTTTTTGGCTTTCACGCAGGCTCTGTTATACAATAAGAGTTTCAGACTGGTTCGGAAAGCTTCGGGCAGTTTCTTAGCCTACAAAGGATGGATGGATGGGAGGAAAGAAGGGAAGGGAAGGAAAGGAGAATGGGGAAGGGAAGAAGGAAAGGAAAAAGGAGGAGAAAGGGGAAAGGGAAGGAGGAAGAAAAATGGAAGAGGGGAAAGAGAAAGGGTGAGAGGGAGGAAAGGAAAGGAGAATGGGGAAGGGAAGGGAAGGGAAGGGAAGGAAAGGAGAATGGGGAAGGGAAGAAGGAAAGGAAAAAGGAGGAGAAAGGGGAAAGGGAAGGAGGAAGAAAAATGGAAGAGGGGAAAGAGAAAGGGTGGGAGGGAGGAAAGGAAAGGAGAATGGGGAAGGGAAGGGAGAGGAGAGGAGAGGAAAGGAAAGGAAAGGAAAGGAAAGGAAAGGAAAGGAAAGGAAAGGAGGAAGCTGAGATCAAGGCCATTTGTGGAGCGTCCCTCCCAGAGTTCAAATTGCTCTCCAATTTGTAATTTTGAAAATTACAGAATAAAAACTTGCCAGGTAAAATCACTTCAAAGAGCAAGGTTACTTTAGAAAACTCTTGCAAGAACTCTTGACCTGAAATAGTATCCTTCCCTTGTTACAAAACAGTATATTTGAAATCTCATCCTCCCAGGTATGAAATCCTGCAGTTCTGCTGGCTGTCTCCGGAAAAGCGAGCCACAGCGGAGGAAGTCCATAAGCTTTTAGTCTATCTCTGCATGCAAAACCAAAGGGACTCTGTCATTGATCCGGAACAGTGGGACGATCTCAAGCCGAACATTTCAAACCGAGAACCCTTGGGGAGTTCCGCTTTTCCGATCCTGGATCATTTCACCGGCAGCCGATTTGGCCGCGAGATGGAAGAGGTTCTCACCGTAACCGAAACAAGCCGAGGACTCAACTTTGAATACATCTGGGAGGCAGCCAAACACGACCACTTTGAATGTAACCAGTCAAACCCCATTGACACGAAGACTTACACAAACATCTTCTTCCCGGTGGAGGTGTTTGAGAACACGCTGACCGACCAAGGGCCTGGAGCTCAGGTTGAAAGTGGGCAGGAAGTTTCCTTACTGGTGCCTGGAGAACTTCCCGTGTTTAACGCCCGCAAACCTTCAATGGGAAGTGATTATTACATCCAGCTAGAAGAAAAAATTGGAGGCCTTGGGAGCATCAACTTTGATCACCAGGTTGATGAGTTGACAACAGAAGTGGACAACCCTGAAGTTCTGAAAGACAAAAATTGTCACGTCGTGGTTCTGGAACACTCTGCTGCTGAATCCAGTACAGATGGGGATATTTTCTGTAATAGTACAGATCCCAAGGAAGAGAATTTACACTGTGTTGGTCTGGTTAGCCCTTCCCAAAATGGTGGTATCATTAAAAATGAACAGTTGGCAAATGGGGTCAATAGACTTGATTTAGCTGACATAAATGATATCCATCCGGAGCTGGAAGCAATTGCATGCTCAGATCTTGAGGAATCCACCCATGGCTTGCCCAAGAAGGAAAGCTCCCCACCCACTTCTCAAAATGAAATGCAAGAAGATACCTCACAGGAATCTAAATTTAGCCAACTGACTTTAGAGGAGCTATCTGATAACTTCCTTTTTCTTCAGGAGAAGAATTTATTAAAGGGGACAACGAGGGACGAAAGTGGTGGCGATCTCCATAGAGACCCAACAGATAAACCAGACCCACCGAATACGAACTCTTGGGGAGTTGAATGTAACATGAGTGGAAAAGTTCATGACACTAAAAAGGACCTTCTTGGGCCAACAGGGGCACTTTCTGGTTCCCCTAAGGTTGATAAGCATCTCCTGTTCTCCTTTTCCAGCCCAGAGAAAAACCCTCCTAACAGAGAAGTTGGAGATGACTCTACCAACAATGCTTCTCTTCTTGGAATGGAACAAGCCTCCAAACTCGGTTCAACAGGTATCCATTCCACCCATGTCCAAAACCAGGCCCCTGGCATCGGCTCCTGCCCTGGTGTCGTCTCTCTCCATGCTCAAGAAGAAAGAGAGGAAAACAGACAGGAACTTCAGCGCAGCAGTAACTCCTGGGAGTTGACCCACCATTTAAACTCCGAGAAACTTGAGCGAGATGACGCCCACGTTCTGAAGGAAAGCGATAGGACTTTTCAAGGTGAAAGGTACAACCCAGAGGGTTGCCTTCCCACCGATCGCATCAGCCATGATAGCCTACTAGAAGACAGTTTATCAGGTTCGACCCCAAGCCTGGGGCAACTGGTAGACACGCCAGACTCGTTTGAGACATTAGACATTCACGAAGTTTTGGAATCCTTTGAACCAGAAAGTCCCCGGAAATGTTTACCCCCCGATAAACCCGCCGATAGTGGCTACGAAACGGAAAACCTGGAATCTCCCGAATGGACGTCCCACCTGGTTGGCAGCGATTCTAGTGAATCAGCTGGGGAGCTGGCGCAGGAGAACCCCACGGTCATCGTGTCAGCGGATGTAAATTCTTACGCCGACCCGACAAACGTGGGCGATTTTGAAGCCACTCCTCAGACAGCCTTGGAGGGCATCCATAATTCGTACAGAGATTCGGCCTATTTCTCTGACAACGATTCGGAGATTGATAAGAAATCCGAGGTCATGAATCTATCGAAAAAGCCAACAGTATTAGCCAAGGACCACGCCGATTTCTTTGAAGTGGAAAATGCTGGGAAGACAAAAAATCCTTCCAAGGGCAGTGAAATAGCTAATTATCAGTTCGTCAGGGACTTGGCCTCACAGCTGGAGGTGGAAGGAGGAGGAGGAGACGACCATGAGTCTGACGGAACAAACCAGGAGTGGCTTCATAAGGCCAAAGATACACCTTCGTCTCCCCTCGTCCCTGACCTAGAACATACGGATGAAGGTGACATCTATGAGGATTCCCCTAAAAGTGTATCTTGCACGGGCACCAGCACGGCCGATTTTTTCCCCCAGGGCGATCCGAAGCTCACGCCCGCCTTGTACGGTGCTCCCGAGCTCTTTGAAAAATCCCCTTTGAGTCAGCTCGAAGGCCCTAAGTTGAAAGAACCAGACATTGAAGGAAAGTACCTGGGGAAACTTGGGGTTTCTGGGATGCTGGATCTCTCCTTAGACGAAGAGGACGCCGACGAGGAGGATGGGAACAGCGACGATTCGGAGGACGACATGAAGAGCTTCCACCTCCACGGGCTTAGCTCGGACAGCGACGAGGACGTGGTGGTGCACCCCGTGCCGGAGATCATCAGCGATGGAAGTGATGGGAGGCATCTCAGAAGCTTGCTGAAACAGGCAAAGCAACCCCAGGAGAACCACTCGACCGAAGCCTTTCAGAAGGACGGGAAAAAAGCAGTAACGTTCTTCAATGACGTCACCTTGTATCTTTTTGATCAGGTATCTTCCCTTTGTTGTTTTAATTCTTGGCTTTCAGAAGAGGCTCTTCTTTCCTTAAAAAAGGCTGTTTCCTTCCCTGCCCAGGTAAGGCAGAAGGAAGCATATGTCCTAAGTAACGAAAGACAGGTGAGACTCTACCCAGTGCTGGCAGCCATTGTCTGTTCCTATGGCGGTTGGTTGTAGAGGGACACACTCGGCACCACATTATTAGCCTGGCTTGGCGTGACACTCAAGTCCAGCCAGTGACAGGGTTCATGTCCCTCGAAAGCGATAGAAGGAGCGGAGAGGTCAAAACAATGTTTTTTTTTTCCTACTGATTCTAAGAGCCGCTTGCGGGGCTCAAAGGCCGCCTGTCAGGACTCCATCATGCACCCCCATTCAAATCAAAAGTCTCCACCCGCGTCTCTCAAGAGTAAAAAAGATTGATTTATTAGGAATTGACATGTCGGCGTTTCCTGGTTGCAGCCAACTTTGACACCTCATTCATTTCCCCATTGACCCTGGCCTTCCCCCCCAACCCCTGGATGTATATTCTCCAATGGGACACATCCATAGCCAAGAGTCATCCATCCTGCTCTCCAGTAATATTCTTGCGCGCCATCAGCTTTGGGCTGCCAAGGCGATTGAGGCATTTAAGGAATGCACTGCTTTCCCCCACTCCCTTTCTGCTAGCAACTAAAAAGACCAAAGGGGTATTTTTTTAGTTGATACCATCCTCTGTATCAACGCTGGTGAGCTGTGCTGTTTTTTTTAGCTCAGCTGAGGCGCGGCCATCCGCTCTGCCACTGTGCATCAGCTCAGCTAAAAAATCAAGGGAATAGAGTCGAGAGGTAATGGCAGGGGGAAGGTGGGTGATATATCCCCTAAATATCACCAGAGATGATATTTACCGGTTCTCCGAACTGCTCAAAATTATTGCTACTGGTACGCCAGAACCGGGCTGAACCAGCTGAATATCACCTCTGGATCAAAGCAGCAGCAAAATCTCATCTTGGAGAAGGATTCTAGTATTTTCTACAAAAAAAAAAAAAAAGAGATTTGTGTTCGGACAGTTGTTTCTCAACTTTGCGACTTAGGATGTGTGGACTACAATTCTCAGAATACCCCAACCAGCAATGGGGAATTCTGGGAGTTGAAGTCCACACGCCTTAAAGTTGCTAAGGTTGAGGAAAAACACAGGCAGATTAACAGAGTTGGAAGGGACCTTATAGGTCATCTAGTCCAACCCCCACCCACCCACCCAAGCAGGGGAGCCTTACATGATTTCTGACGAATGGCAGTCCAGTCTTCTTGAAAGCTTCCAGTGATGAAGCTCCCACAATTTCCAAAGGCGCTTGAAAAACCATGTCTAGCTGGGTGACAGAATTATACAGGTAATCCTCAACTTCCAACCACAATTAAGCCCAGCATTTCTGTTGCTAAGCGAGGCAGTTGTTAAGTGAGTTTTTTTGCCATCATTGTTAAGTGAGTCACTGCACTTATTAAATTAGTAAGACACTTGTTCAGTAAATCTGGCTTCCCCGTTGACTTTGCTTGTTAGGAGGTCACAAAACATGACCACATGACCCGGGGCACTGCAACAGTCATAAGTACATGCCAGTTGCCAAGCGTCTGGATTTTGATCACGTGACCATGGGGATGCTGCCACAGCTGGGTGGAAAAGGGTCAAAGGTCACTTTTTTTCAGTGCCGTTGTAACTTTGAACGGTCACTAAAGGAGCTGTTGTAAGTCAAGGACTCCCTGTGAGAAGCTAGTTGCATTTCTTGTGATCCTTTTTTTTTTTTTTTTTTAGGAAACACCAACCAAAGAACTTGGAAAGCGTATTGCTGAATCAAACTCTAATCACACTCCTGCCCTGGCTGCCAGTTTTGGTTACTTGAATAAATTCACCAGTTCAGAAAGTTCTACGGATGAAGAAGGTATACATTATCTCTCTTATTGGTCATGAATACAAAAATAGGTTCCCTTTACGAGAAAACCTAAATTTTGGAATTGCCAGCTAACCCCGTTCCTCTTAATATCCACAAAGGCCTTTATTTTCCAGTTAAATTTCTCCAAACGTCAATTTTCCAGGCCAAGTCGATCTCGCTTTTATCCCATCCATGCTTGCCTCCTTATCTGACAATTCCAAAATCCATCACCCTCTAGGAGGGTGACACAAATAATGTTAGTGTACTTTGCACACGGAAGGCTAAATGGTGGCTGGGAAGATCTTTATCGGGGCATTTTTAAAAGCCACGTTACCAGTAAAAGAGACTATTTGTAGCTTGACATGAGGGGTCCTTGGTGCTCTCTGAGCTTGGCGGTTTTCTTGCAGACGTTTCGTGATCCAGCTAGGGGACATCATCAGGGCTAGAAGGAGTGGGGGACTTGTGGAGAGGAGAAGGAGGAAGACTTTGAGGTCCTTGGTGCTCTCTGAGCTTGGTGGTTTTCTGGAAGTTTCATGATCGAGCTAGGGGACATCACCGGGGCTAGAACTATGCTGTTGATTTGAAGCATCATCGATCGAGAAGAACCGTTGGATTCCATACGTTGTAGTGGACACCAGATGACCCTCCTCTTTGTCTGACATGTCTGTCCGATCTGCTTGTTCCAGGAGGTTTTGAGTGGGACGATGACTTCCCTGCTCCTGGGCCCTCCGTGGCCTTGAAGGCCGCCAGCACTCTCATCAGCTCCAAGTCTTCTTCCCTTCAGACCTCAAAGTACCTCTCTCCGCCACCGCCCCCCCGAAGCCCTGAGCAGGACTGGTTCCGCCCGTCCCCTTACTCCAGGTTCTCCATCTCACCGGCAAACATTGCAAGCTTTTCGCTCACTCACCTGACCGACTCGGATATCGAACAGGGAGGTGAGTATTTTCCTCCAGCCCATGGGCTTGGCCGCTCTTAACAAGCAGAAGCCCCAAAGGTGCTTTTTAAAGAAGGCAGCTGGGCTTCTGTTTTTCCCTGAAGGGGTTTCCCTTCTCATCCAAGAAGCTTCTTCCGTTCTGAAGACGTTCTTCTCAGAACGGAAGAAGCTTCTCAGGTGAGAAGCGAAGCGTCTTCAGAGGAAAACGATAAAGCCCAGCTGCCTTCTTTAAAAAGCACCTTTGGGACAAGCGTGACCTGGATGACAGCGTATCTTTATAGACATTACAAGCAGAAGCTTTCTGTCGATTTATGGAGGCCAGGCGCAAACTTCTCCTTGGTGGTGGCCTTCCTCCTTGGAAAAGGTTATCCTAGATTTTTGGACTCTTCCTCTGAAAGGCAGCAGGTTGGGAGGCAGATCGTACTACCCCAATTAGAAAGAGAATAGGGAAAGGGGGAGGAGGAGGAGGAGGAGGAGGAGGAGGAGGAGGCGGCGGCAGCTAATAGGACACCAGATTGCTGTCCTGCTAATCTGGAAGAAGGAAACTCCAAGCCAGATGTCTTCATCAGAAAGAGTCCATTTCACATATATAATGTATGACAGGTCAGTTGGGTTGCAAAATAGATGTGTAAGCTTATAAAAGTTGGATCTGCTTTGCAAGGAGGGGAAATCTATTCTCGTTGCAATAGATTTGCCAGGCTTCAACTAGGAGGCATAGTATATAGGGTTGCGTTCTTTTTTTTTTTAATTTACGTTTTTTCAGTGTTTTTGTTTAGTTTAGGTTTGTCTCTGTCCAATTTTTTTTCCTTTTGCATTTTATTTATTTTTTTAATAAAGTAACGTTGTTAAAAAAAGAGAGCCCTGGCCTGCATTTAAAACACGAGTCTCTATTTGCTCTTAGTTTTAACTCCTACCAGCCCCATTTAGTGCAGCAAAGACGTTTAGAACTGGGATCCAGGCATGAACTTGAAAACTAGTTTTCTACACATAGATAAAGCAGATTAAATAAGCAGGTTCTTCACCGGCTCATTTACATATATATATATGTGTAGGTCTAGGTGTGTTCGGGTCTTTTCCCGTGTAAGATTAAGAGTATCTTGGTGACGTTTCGGCGAGGTCCCACTCACCATCCTCAGGCTGGTGCTTTCAGCTTCATGCTTGCATATATATGTGTGTGTTTTTCTTAAGTTTTCACGGGTACTTACATGTATGGTATTCAGCTTTGTTCAGGTATTTTCCTACGTCATTGTATGACGTGGGAAACTACCCGAACAAAGCTGAATACTATATACACACACACACACACACATATATACACATACACATACACACACACACACACACACACACACACACACACACACATATATATATATATATATATATATATATATATATACATATACATATATACACATACATACATATATACACACAGAGAGAGAGAGAGAGTATATGTGTGTGTGTGTGTTATTGTGTAAATAGGCTGACTCTCGGTCTGCTCTCTGATTGCCTCGAGAAACACTGTTTGCACTTGGCCAAAATGCTGATTAGATAAGCCACACGTTGCTTGCTTTAGCTGGTAACTCAACGGGCAGCTTCCTTTGATGTTCCTCAGCAGTGACATTGAAGTGTGCGAGGTAGACAGTTGTGCTTGGGGAGACTTGCAGGTGTGTCCACTTTTGTGGATTTTGTAATAGGGGGTGGAGAACACTGCCTTGTACATCAGAATGTCCCTTACAAAGAAGAGGGGGGAAAACTTGATTCTAACTCTTGGGGGAAATTGTTATAACATCCCTCTGGAGCGGGTACCTGCCACACACCTTTTGCGCAGGTAATTTTTAAGATTCTCCGACTTTCATTTCGATTCAGTTCGCCTGCTAGAAATTACCACAACAAATTAGGCCTAAACAAATCTGCAGAGTTTTAAGGCAATGTTTTTCAACCGTGGCCACTTTAAGATGCGTGGGCTTCCAACTCCCAGAATTCCCCAGCCAGCCATGGCTGGCTGGGGAATTCTGGGAGTTGAAGCCCACGCATCTTAAAGTGGCCACCGTTGCGAAACACTAACTTAGAGGGGTCTTTCCACAAGCAGACACTCCCAAGTTATTTGTAATTGTAATAACTTTGTTTCTTCAACAGGGAGCAGCGAAGACGGAGAAAAAGATTAAGAACTGAGGCTTCTCTCGGTCTGTTCTCGTGATTGTGGGGAATACCTCCGGTTTGGACTAAGAGCCGTTTAAAAGAAAAAAAAGGGAGTCGGGAGCAGAATTTGGAATGGATGTATTTCACAGCCTGCTATACAGACCTCCCTATGCTAGCTCTCTCCCAGTACTTGAAATAATCCTCCAGATGATTTGTACCACAGTGACGTTCTGGTTTATATATAGGATTGTAATATACTTTTTTTTTTTTTTTGGAGAGGGGTAGAGCCATGTATTATCTGTATGAACGTGTACAATTGTATATAGTTGAGCTGCAGATATACTACATTCCTTGATCAAGCTGAGAGCTGTTGTGTAGCAAGCCATATTTTGCAGGTTTCACTCATTGCTTAGCCGTAGGCGTGCTAGTTGTGTCCTTGCCAAGTCCCTTTGCACTGTACAAAAGCATTCTGGACCAATGGGAATTGTAGTACTGGCATATTTAAATCGGTTTTATTTTATTCCTGTGTCTCAGAACTTGAGTTGTCCCATTGTTGTTTTCTTTTTAAAGGATTTCTGCCACTTTTACATGCTGCTCGTGTTTCTGAAAGGGTCGCTCACTTGGAAACAGACAGGAAGATAATGCTCACTTGCAATTAATGGGGGGCAGTGGGTTGACTTATTTTTATTTGTGGTTGGCTAAAAATGGTGATGGTTTTGGGGTTTTCCTTGGTTTTTCGTAGGGCAAATCGTCTGCGTTTTTGTTGGATGTATGTGTGTGTGTGTCCAAATGATCTTCTTGGTTACTGGACAACTTCTAGGATGACATTGTCCATGTCAACTGTTGACATTGTCCAGGTCAACTTTTAAGGATCCGTCCACGGTTCTGGTCACAGTCTGATAGAAGATTGTTTCCCTTCTGCCATCAGTTATCTTTTTTTTTGAAGTCAAGTACCTGTTTAAAAAAAAAAAGAAGTTTTAATAAATTTGGGCTTGTTGGGTCTTGAGCCTGAGCATGGATTACAACAATCTTGAGTAGGTCATTGGCTATGCCATGACTGAGGCATGAGTTCTGAAACTTAATTGTCACAAGGTCTTTCAGGATGCAAGCTTCAACCTATGGGCTAATAGGCAGCCTTCAACCCTCTGCTTAAAGGATCTTTTCTGAGCTCCAGCCAACTTTGTATAGATGTATCCTGAACGTTCCCAAAACAGGCAAAGACCCTGATGGTGACAAGCACAGCTTTAGTTACACCTTGTGTGGGCAAGCAGCTTTGCTTCTCAGGAGAACCGTTCTCTCTCGTCTTAAAATGTATTCTCATTCTAAAAAGAAGCTTATGTGCTGTTTGTGTCATTTGCACCCATAGTTTGGTAGGGGGAGAACGTGCTTGCTGTTGGGTCGTCCGACAAAATGAGCTGCTGGAAGGATGAATTTTTGAGAAGAACTAGATAGAATGAAGAAAAAAAAATAATGTGGGAAGGATTGGAAAGAAACACGCATGCTTTTAACCCTTCACCTGTCTTAGTTCTTGGAAGCTATGTGAAGGGTAGAAACGGTCATGCGTGAAACATGCCAGGGAGTGGTCGAGTGTTGACATAGTGTAAGCATCTAAAGAACTCCCACCCACCCAAAAAAACAGTAGCACTTTGAGAAATGCTTTTGTTTCTTGGGTTTAACTTCAGCACTTGCCAACATGCCTTAGATCAGGGGTCTCCAACCTTGGCAAATTTAAGACTTGTGGACTTCAACTCCCAGAAGTCTTCAAGTTGCCAGGGTTGGAGACCCCTGCCTTAGAGAGAGCTCTGCTCTTGACATGGTGGTCCTTGACAGATCCAACCTCTCCAGGCACTGAATTCCCCCTTAACTGACAGCCTTGGATCTGGCCTTCTCCACCCTTTGAGGAAGTTGCAGTCTGAAGTGAGACCTCTTCTATTAGATGATGATACGTAGGGAACTCAAAAGTGAGCCTTCTCAACTCCGTGATGGGTCCCAGAGCTGCCTTGGCCTTGTGTGGTAGGAGTTTGGACGTTGTTTGTGGCAGCTGTCCTCATGGACACCCTTCAAACACCTTAGATCAACACCCTTCCGTGCAGAAGACACCTTCATGGTGTAACACCATTTGGTAAAGTTGAGTGAAGTGGATGTTAGCAGCATTCTCTTCATTTTGGAGTCTTTCCATTGAGTATTGGAATCAGACTTGGGCCAAACACGCATTCTCCATCACAGGGTTTTCTCCAGATTCTCGGAGTGTCTTCCTTGTTGCCTTGCCCCTCACTTCACATCACCTCACTTCACTTCACTTCAATTCCAAGTCTAAATTTTAACACAGATGGCAAATGCCTATATTTGGATAAGCCCAGGGCAATTCTATTTCATTAGAAACGTAGAGTTCCAGGTATACCGTGCCCTAGGCTGCGCCAGAAGTCCTTTCCTTCTGGTCGAAATATACATGCATCTCTTTTAGGTTTTCGAGCCTTTAAAATTAAAGTATGAACCGCTAAAAATCCGACATTAGCATTTATTTAGCTGAGGTGGTATCCTCAGCTTCCCAAATCCATCCCAGCTTGTCCAAGTTCCTTAATAGATCTCTGAAAGATCGACTTACATATCATCATGGCCAGATTATATCTTTTTCCTTGAGTTGAGGCTCCTGAATTATTATTATTATTATTGTTGTTATTTTGCACTATAATTTCCCTGATGATCTGGCCATGTTTGGAGAATTGGGAGCAGGTTCGAGTTTGGTGTATTTGGTTAGAAGAAGCAGTTCCGTTTAGCATTATTTCTGTTTTCTGCAGGACATCAAAGCTAGCAGATGTCCAGAAGTGACCGCGAGGGTCCTCCTGTTTGGTCAACCAGGGGGTCGTCCTCCTGTTCTGGTCTTAAGAGTGGTCACTTCTCTGTCCTCTCCCTGTCACCCCAGCTCAGCCCACCTTCAGCCTGTGACCTGTTCCTTTGAACAACTGTAACAACTTAGCAGAAATCCCCTGAGCATCTACTTATATATACGTGTGCGTACGTTGTGCCAGAGTGGAGATGATTGACCAAGGAAACTTTCTGTTGGGTCATTCAACCCATGGTGGAGCTTTTGAAGGCAGCTGAGCCTCGCCAGATGTTTTCAGCAGCCCCAACCATCCTCTTCTCCTAGTTTCTGAGGTTCTGCAGGATAACTAAGAGGTTATTCAGAGCGCAGGTGCTGATGGAGGCTGTTTGCACTACAATGTAGATGGGATGAGGAGCCCAGAAGCATTGCAACCAGGTTTTTAGTTGGAGTAACTTGAAAAGAAGATACGTCAGACCTGGGTGTCTTGACACAGTTCTCTTATATAGGAGAATGCCTTGTTTACGGTAGAGCTGCTCTTAGAACGATCCCTAAGAACGCAATTTCAGGAAGGCTCATAAGCTCCCAAGATAAACCAGCCTGTCAACCTTTGTTGGGGTTGGCGGGTGTGTGTGTGTGTGTGTGTGGAATGGACCAGTAGGAGTAATATTTGTAGTTAGGCTTTGAATGGCTAAATCCTTTCCGAGTTCCGTCCTTTATAAATGAAACGCTGCTGCCTTTTTTTCTTCTTTTTTTTTTTGGAGGAGAGGGGGAAATGAAAGTTTTCTTTTTTTAAAAAAAAAATGACACTAATGAAAGCTGCCTGTGTGTACATTTTAAACACTTGTTTTAGCTTAATTTGTATGCAGATTTTGTTTTTCCTTGTTTGAGACAGAGAGAGAGAGAGAGAGAGAGAGAACTCTGGGGGTTTGGGTAGAGAAAAACAATTGGCTAACATTTGACGGGGGGCAAAGGGGCTATTTAGGTTGGAAGTAGAAATGTAGACTGCTTTGGAAGGAATAGCCCCGAATAATAAAAACAAGAGAGAGCGTATAGCCTCAGCATTAATCTGTATAAAATACTCACTTCTGAAGAAAAAGAAAAGAAAATTAAAATGTCTTTCAGGAAATATGCTAGAGGAGAAACATTTCATGAAGAGCAGGTAACAAAATGTTCCGTTCCACAGCCTGGTTTTTATCTTATTTTATTATTACTATTATTCAGTTAAAACTTGAATGAATTTAAGACGTCCGGTTCTGTTTAGCCATTTGTCTGAACTTGCACAGTGGTGGGTATAATGGTAAAGCCGTTTCAATTCTGTGTATATACGACGTTTTATTCTATTTGTACATCAGGAAATTTATGTAACAAAAATCATAGGGGAGAAATTTTCCGATTGGGGGTTTAATACAGCTATGAGGTTCGTGGCAATACGCTAGCTAATTAAATTCCAGGTCGAATTTATCTTTAAACTGTGTGTAAATTTTAAATCTGTTAAGATTTCTACTGTATATTGATCATGCATAGTGTGATCCAAGGCTGCTTGTAATTTAAAGAACCTTATTTAATATTCAAAATAAAAATAAAGCTATATATTTATAAGCCTGGAATCTGATGTTCCTTCTGTTTTGATGCACATGACATTGATTGATTGATTGATTGATTATGAGTCATCAGGTCTCTTTCCTAGCGACCACATAGATAGATTTTCTCCCTAAAAGCTGCCATTTAAAGAGGGCAAAATATCCCTGTAGACTGTATCGTCTTCTTCAACTTTGGCTTCTTGGCCTGAGAAGATCTGTGATAACTTTGTTCTACAATAATGTTTCCCAAAGTTAAAAAAGCATAACGTTTGGAGGTTGAATAAATGAATTCTTAAGTGGATATGATATCTGATATTGGCCAGAGTGTATGTGTGTGTGTGTGTGTCTGTGTGGTTGTGTGTCTGTGTGTGCTGGGGGTGGTGGTGTTCAGAAATAAGCAACTAGGTGAACCAGTTTGTAGCTTGGCCTGCACCCAAAGAGAACATTAAAGTACAGTCCTCCCTTTCTTTCAATCTCTTGATTTTTCTCTTGGATCTTCCATAGTTGTTCTTATTCGAGCCAGAGGTCTTTTCCCACCACAGAAATGTAGATCAGAACTTCAGCTTTTGAGGACCAAATGTCACACTCCTGGTTTCGGCTGTGTCCCGGATTGGCCCTTGTCCCCAACCACAGCTGCCCCACCTGAGGGTCCCAGAGTTGTAAGCGAATGTATCTAGGGAGCGCAAGCAGCTTAAGGAAGGCTGAGGGGCTTCAGAAATGATGGTTGCTTTTAGTGGCCACTTCCCCTTTCTGTGCTCAAAGAAACGTGCGCAACCGGAGACAGAGACCCAAACCTGCAGTTGACTGAAGGGCTTAAGACCTCCAACATTGGCCATCAGTACCCCCAGAAGAAGAACACCCCAAGTTCTGGGCCTCGGTCCTAGAATCCAAGTTGAGCTGCAACCACACAGGAAAAACATTCTGCTTGTCATCTTGTCGTTCTTGGCTTATTTGCAATAGACTTGGCCATGCCAGACTCCGCCTCCTTACCTGTTAGTGCATTAAAGTGACGTGTCCTAGCCCAGGTGAACAGCCTGTAGCAGGTGGGGATGGGCAGACGGCTTTGTTTCCTGGGCGATGATGGTCACCGTCTCCTTCTGAGGCTGGGTCTGCGTCTTTCATGATCCATGCCAGGTTGGAACAGTTGAAGGATGATGCCGTTGGCCCCTGCTCCAGGTAGGCATGGAATCATTTCTGGCCTCTTCCATTCAGACCCATCCTGGGCAAATATTTGGGGGATTGAAAGAAGGGCTTATCAAATTGATAGGTGGCTCTTGCACGGTGGTCTACAAAAACTCTGCAAGGCCGACAACCAATCTCTTGAAATGTCTCTTAAAATCCTCTTTCCCTAAATGGAAAAGTTGGGAACTTACTTTTCTTTGCATGGTTAACTTAACCATAACAGAGTTTGAAGGGTACCTTGGAGGTCTTCTAGTCCAACCTCCTCCTAAGGCAGGAAACCTTATATCATTTCAGACAAAGCTTTGTCCAATCTCTTCTTAAAAACTTCCAATGTTGGAACATCCATAATTCCTGAAGGCAAATTGTCCCACGAAATTGTTTTCCCTGTCAGAAAATTTATCCTTAGTTCTAGGTTGCTTCTCTCCTTGATTAGTTTCCACCCGTTGCTTCTTGTCTGGCCTTCTTGTGCTTTGGAGAATAGCTTGACTCCCTCTTCTTTGGGGCAGCCCCTGAGATCTTGGTACACCGCTATTTTGTCACCTCGAGTCCTTTTCATTCACCGTCTTCTGGTTCTCAAATATGGAGAAAACACACCAAGGAAGCGATTTCTGAACCTCCCCCCAAAACAAAAACAAAAACAAAAAAAAGGGGAAAACAGAGATCTTTAGTCCTAGATGAGAAAATCACCCCAGTGTGAATATTATTCAAAGACCAGTTCACCTACCTGGGCACAGACTTAGGTTGCCCAACCCAGAGATGTGCAAATGGTTAGCAGCAGATAATTATTATTACTACTAGGGACTTCAGGGTCGTAAAAAAAGGGAGAACACAGGACTTCCTTCTCTCCTTTGCTGTGTTGCGTGTGTGTCCATGTAGAAACAACATTGAAATTTGGGGTGCAAAAGATAAACCTAGAATTTGAGGTCTTTTAGTCTAACCCTTTGCGCCAGGCTGGAGATCTTACACCACCCCAATCAAAGGGTTTATTACAATGGACGAGCCCGTGTCTTAGGCCCACGTAGAAGAATCCTGTGTCGAACCGAATACATTTTGCACCAACAACAGGTGAGCTGCAAAGGGAAAATAATAATTCGATGTCTCTCTCCCTCGCCCCCCCGTTCCATCCAAAGGGCCGAGAAGTTACATGACGTCCAAATTCCCTTCCCTTCCCCTCCCCCTCTTTTTTGGATGTGAACACCTGATTAACCTTTGTTGCAAGGACAAATGATTAGATTGTTCTGTGTCGTACATTGTACATTGCTTTACCTTATAACAACACTTGGCTGGGGAGGGGAGAGAAGGAAGGCTGTGCGTTGCTCTGTGAACACCAGAGCTTGTGCATTGCTCCGTGAACACAACCCGTGGGCTGTGGGTTTCGCTCAACATTTTTTTTTTCATTCAACTTGTTTCCATCTGAGATTTTTTTTTTAATTTGGGTCTTTGTCCTGGGGAGTTTTCTCAGCTCTGCAAGACCTCTTTGAATCCCGTCCAAGAATTTGCAAATTTTGGCTGCCTTGGCTAAATTACCCTGATAAAGTTCTATATCTAAGGTATTTCGCCCTTCGAAAGCAGGGCGGTAGGAGCAACGAGGAGTTTTTAAAGGTAGGTCCAGCCTTGAAATGTATGTATTGGAAAAGCTTTGCAAGAAAATGGGCTTTGGTGGATGGCCTGCCACATACACACCTCCTCTCTTCATTTGGGAATAATAACTTCTGAGTGGCCTTTCTTTGCCGTGGAGTCAAAGCAGGGGTTGTGTTCTCTTTAAAGCAGGGGTGTCCAATCTTGGCCACTTTAAACCTGGTGGACTTCAATTCCCAGAATTCCCCAGCCAGCAAAGGGAATACTGGGAGTTGAAGTCCTCCAGGCTTAAAGTTGCCAAGGTTGGAGACCCCTGCCTTAAAGGGTTTCTCCACCACAATGTCTAAAAGAGTAACACAATTATAAAGGTTGATGATACGAGTTCAGTTCAACAAAATGTGTGCCTTATTGATCTTATTAACCCATGTAAGATGTTGGCATGACTAGGGACTCCCTTTTCTTACGACCCTTAATTCGGGGTAGAATCGGGGTGACTGGATGGAACGGAGCATTTACTGGCCAGGTGCCCTTCCTGACACCTATGTGGAGTTAGCAGCAGATAAGTATTATCACTAGGGACTACATGGTCGTCAGAAAGGGAGAACACAGACCATTTGGATCTGCGAATGCTTCTTTTTCTCCTTTGCTGTGTTGCGTGCATGTCCGTTTAGAAACAACATTGAAATTTTGGGTGCAAAAGATAAACATAGAATTTGAGGTCTTCTACTCCAACTCTTTGCTCCATCTTACATCATCCCAATTCAATGGTTGTCCAGCCGATTTTTGAAAACCACTAGGACGGAGCACCCACAATTTTGGGAGTGTATAAATTAAAATTAAAAAAAGACCACCCCTTTTTTGTACATATGTTTTCATTCTTATTTGAGTGCCAAGTGTTTCTCAACGTTGGCAGCTTGCTGACTGGAATTCTGGGAGTTGAAGTCCAGACCTCTTCAAGTCACCAAGGTTGGGAAATACTGTTGTAGATTTTCTATAGAAGTTCAAAATATCTCAGAAGCTGATCCTTCTGTGCGATTTTAATATGTGAGAGAAGTAGGTTTGATGAAGAGGTTTTCACGCTATCTAAATGTGCCCCTTAAGAATAAATGGAAATATGTAGTCAAACAAGGTAGTTGGGTGAATTGCCACTTTTAAACACAAGAAGACGTGTCATGTCTTCTTGTGTTTAAATTATCGTAAAACTCCTTGGAATTCCTTGAAAAATCAAAATATAGCTTGAGAGTGGAAACGTTCTAGGCGGGCATTATTTCTTTCACCTCTAGAGAATTTTTCATTGAAGAAATCTCTCAAAAGTGATCTAGTATTTTTTATTATTATTATGCCCAGGATTCCCCTACTTCCATGGATCCTGGCACGTCTAGATCAAGACCCTGTTGAGCTGACAGCTGAGGAAGATGAAGATGTAACTAGATGAACCCTCCAGTTGATGTCTTTGTTCAATAAAGGATCCGTCCTTGGGTTGATGTTGGGCGTTCCTTCTGCTAGGAGATGAAAGTCTAGTTCCTAGATCTTTGGTTCTACCAACCATGAAGGCCAAGAGCAAAGGAACCAAGTGTCGGAACGCAGTCAGTGAAGAGACTTTAGGACAAGAATCTACCCAGAGCCGAGATGATCTTCTAAAATATTCACGGCGCAAGGAAAAGAGGAACAAGGAAAGCCCAAAGGTGACCTCCAAACTTCCTTGGAGTAGCAAGGATCGGCGCTTGCGGAGGCTGGAGAGCAACGAACGTGAGCGTCAACGCATGCACAAACTCAACAATGCCTTCCAAGCGTTGAGAGAAGTCATCCCCCACGTCCGAGCTGAGAACAAGCTCTCCAAAATCGAGACCCTCACGTTGGCCAAGAACTACATTAAGTCCCTCACATCCACCATTCTCAGGATGTCCAATGGACACCACCCAGTGGTTGAAGGCACGGGCTCTGAAGGCAAGTGCAAACTCTATGAACACTATCAACAGCAGTGTGAGGAAGGAGATGAACCGAAGGAGCAACTTCAGAAGTACTCCACCCAAATTCATAGCTTCCGACAAGGCAGCTAAAGCTGGCTGTCCATCTGCCGTTGTCTTCCAGGACCCAAGAAGAAGACATCCCAACCATCAAGTGGACGTGTCTGACTTTTCCCCGTAGTTTTGCAAAATGGAAATCCAGTTTTGAACTTCTGATTTAGGAGAGGACCTGGGTACGAACCCAACTTATGTTCACAAATACCCTGTTTTTCCTTGAAAATAAGATCCAACTGGAAAATAAGCCCTAGCGTGATTTTTCAGGATGCTCGTAATGTAAGCCTTACCCTGAAAATAGGCCCCAGTTAAGATTGTCAGTCAGACAGGCACATTTAGTTACCGTTTTTCCCCCAAAATAAGCCGTAATGCATTTTTTGGAGCAAAAATTAATATAAGACCCAGTCCTATTTTTGGGGAAACACGGTATATAGAGTCTTATAGGTCATATCGGGTCTCCCAATTGTGCAGGGGATTGAATTAGAAGACATCCAAGATCCCTTCCAATGCTGATATTCTATTATAATCCATCCAGGTTTTTTTAAAATAGTTTAGTTTCTTAAAAAGTAAGCATTTTTTTAATCTTAAAAAAAAAGAAAAAAGCCAATATTTCTAGAATGAATGTAAATGTTGCGAGCTGTTAGGTGTCTCATGCCAGGAAGATCCCCAGATGTTTTTTAAGTTCAATTCCTATTAGTTGTAGCCCTTGAGGAGGGATGTTAGTGTTAGCTCCTCAACATCTGGAGATCGATAGATCCCACATTTCTGACTTTAAGCTCAAACTAGATGAACTCATGTTAGTTGTTGGAATTTGTATGACGGTTGTATGCGTTGTTTTCAATTGATAAATCAGCATGCAAGACTCTACGTGACACTTAGGCATTGTTCAAAAAAGAGGCTTTAACCCCATAATCTCCTTTGGGATCAGGACAAAATAATGTTTTTATTCCAATAGAAATAGGCGCTTCAGGATAGAACCACAGTTATGGATAGAGAATAAAGATTCCTTTCTCCCTGTTTTTAGTGTTTTGATCTACAAGGTCTACATTTCGTGTTTAATATTTTTTTTTAAAAAAAAAAACATAAATAGCCTCTCATTTAGCTGTCTGTATTTTGCATGCTGAAGGAAGATTTATGTTTTCAATCAATGAATTAAATAGTCAAAGAGTGTTTTGGTCTTAATTTTCATATTCTGGGACTCAAGTTCTGCTATTGGTAAGAAGCATCAGATATTTCTCCAAGCTGTTCATGGAGACCGGATGACTGCAGAACCCTTGACCTCTTTCTGGAAGCCCTCTGGAGCTCTCTAACTTCCACGTTGGCAAAGTTGGGTTCTTTGTGGAGGTGGGAACTCTAAAGACTGAAACAGGGTCTAGATCTACCCTTAGCTTGAAACATCCAAAGGGAAACACACCTTTGTTCTTCTAGAATGTTGAGATGACAACAGAAAGGCCACCTCTGGCCATGTTTTAGCAGGGAGTCCCACTTGTTTACGTTAAATCGCTCTATCCACAAGAGTAGCGTTTCTCAAACTTGGCCATTTGGAGATGGCTGGATGTTAACTCGAAGATTATCCCTCCCCATAAGCTGGACTACAATTCCCAGCTTCCCCTGCCACCCTTGCCCCACTGCCAAACTATGTCAGGTGATCAGACACTGTAAAAGGAGGATCAATGGTCTTGGTGCATCTCATTAGGCCATGTTCTAGACACATTGAAGAGGTGGATTTCACCTCTTGGCAAAGGGAAGAGGTAGACTTCAATTTCCAGAATTCCCCAGCCAGCCATGGCTCTCAAGAACTCACACTTCTCCACTTGAAGACCCCTAGCTGTAAGAAAACCATGAATTCCTTCCCAGCCTAGCTGGAGATGGACAGGCCATTCCATTACTTCATAGCAGAAGTAATGGCAGACGGGATAACCACGTCCTCTTTCACCAGCGTTCTCTTTCATCCATTTCTGTGAGGTCATCTGCTCCCTGAGGTCCTTCAGCCTTGTCAGCTGCGCTCTATTTGCAGTGGAGATCAAGCAGTGTTTCTCAACCTTGACGACTTTAAGACCTGTGGGCCTCAGCTCGCAGAATTCCCCAGCCAGCACAGAAGGCTGGGAGTGGAAGTCCACACATTTTAAAGTTGCTGCGGTTGACAAACACCGAGTTCAACTACTATCCTGAAAGAAGAAAAAGCATCTCTTGTGTTAGAGGAAGTTGTGACTCCTGTGTGGGAGAAAAGAGAAGATCTCTTGAAGAACGGTTGCAGGAACTGGGTATGTCGTAGTCTAATGAAAAGAAGGACTAGGGGAGGCATGATAGCAGTCTTCCAAGATATAAGGAGCTGCCCCAAAGAAGAGGGAGTCCATTTATTTTCCAAAGCCCCTGAAGGCAGGACAAGAAGCAACGGATGGAAACTAATCCAAGGAGAGAAGCAACCTAGAACTAGGGAGAAATTTCCTGATAATTAGAGCAATTAATCAGTGGAACAACTTGCCTCCAGAAGTTGTAAATGCTCCAACACTGGAAGTTTTTAAAGCAATGTTGGATGACCCTTTGTCTGAAGTGGTGTAGGCTTTTCTGCCTAGGCCGAGGGTTGGACTAGAAGACCTCCAAGGTCCCTTCCAACTCTGTTATTCTATTCTATTCTACAATGGTTGTGAGTTGATGGCTGTCTTCTAATACTCATCAACCTCTGATCCAGTTCCATAGTGGTGGAATTACACCTAGGAACATCAAAAGCTGGTGCCCAACAAACCAGACATCATTCTGTGGGGGGCAACAAAGAAGAGAGGAAGCAACTTAAGATGTGCCTGTTTTGTGCAAGGAGGCGATCCAATTCATGGGCACACATGGATTTGGAGCAGTTTGAGTAAAAACTACACACACACACACACACACACACACACACACACACACACAAAGCCCCCTGGGAATCTATCTTTGCAACGTACAAAAGTGAAAAGTGACTGCTATGATAAAATCACCAAGATCCAAACTCTGTCCATGCCAAAAAACTAGACAGGAAAAGACTCCATTATTGAAAAAGAACATTTTTTTTAATAGGGTGTCTTTTCTTCTTGCAATCCAAAGCACTGCTTCAGGGGTCCCCAAACTTGGCCACTTGAAGACTTGTGGACTTCAACTCCCAGAATTCTCCAGCCAGCATCGCAAATTAATTTTGAGTCCACAAGTCTTAAAGTTGCCAAGTGTGGGGACCTCTCTGCCACTAGCTACTTAGGAACCAGTTGTTTGTGCTTCCCCTTTCTCTCCCCCCTGCACTTTTTTTTTCTTTTTAAGACTAAAGAACATTTTATTTCAGGTCAGGTCGTTTCTGTTTCCTTCTGGGGAGGAAGCCTAAAACAATAGCTGCCTTTAATCGGATGTCCTGAATCAGCCACACTCCTAATCCAGTCCGCATTTTTTTTAACGTTAAAAAAAATAAAAAATATATATATTAAAAATTCTGCAGAACTACCGGTATTATTGCTGGGAGTGAGATGCCAGCGGGATCATTTCAACAGCCCAGCAGTTGTGCAGCCTCCCAGGTTTGCCTTTGGTGGCATTCAAAACGTCCCCGGTTGCAAGGAGAACAAAGCCCTGGAAAAGGTACACAAAAGAATGGTTTGAAAAAGGTCACCGTTGTTTACCGCTTTTGGCAGAGGTGCCCTTGATCAGAGTCGAATCTTCTGCATCACTTGGGACGAAGAAGAGAAGACTTATTCAACACAAAACAATGCCCTCTTCGCCAAGAACAAGATGATTTAAGGGAGGTGGCCGCGGAGAACTTGAATCTGTTCTCCGGAGTTTGATCACGCTTCCAATGGCCATTGTTTTAAGTTCACCCACTTAACAGAGACCTGGAATTGTTCTCGGTCGGCCATTTCGAGCGCAGATGTCACACACGACAATCTGCTGGATGGGGTTCAAGGCAGAGTTGAAGTCTGGATCTGTGGTGTGTGGAGCCATCAGAGGTGGCATCCAAGTGACAAATCACCATTGGTCAGAAATGGTGTAGGGTCTCCCGCTTGGGCGGGGGGGTTGGACTAGATGACCTACAAGGCCCCTTCCAACTCTGATTATCTGTATCTGTATCTGATCTCTAGAAGACCCCTTTTCTGTAGCTTACTGAAGGACTTAAGGGACACACTTAAGATGTTCCTTGGGGTAACGTCTCAGTTAGGTTCCTCTTCTCTGTTCCACAGTTGGAGGTTGGACACAGAACGTAACATGGAGATTCTAATCTCATTTCCCCTCCTGCTTCCAACACTGATTCTTATATAGGTTCTCCTGCTTGAGCAGGGGCTGGACTAGAAGACCTCCAAGGTCCCTTCCAGCTCAATTCTAATTCTAAATTTTAATTAATTCTAATTCTAATTAATTCTAATAATTCTTATTCTACTCTACTCTACTCTACTCTACTCTACTCTACTCTACTCTACTCTACTCTACTCTACTCTATTCTTTTGAATCCTATTCCATTCCATTCTAAAATTGTTCTATTCTTCTGACCCTGGAAAATCAACTTCAGAATGTGGTCAAAGAGGGTTGGGCTGTTTCACAGGGAAGGTCTAACCCAAGGGTCTTCAAACTTGGCGAGTTTAAGACTTGCGGACTTCAACTCCCAGAATTCCCGAGCTGACATGACTGGAGGAGAGATTCTGGGAGCTGGAAGTCCACAAGTCTTAAAAACTGTCAAGCTTGAAGACCCCTGATCTAAGTTCTACCACTTCTCATCAGCCAGCAGCTCTCAGGTAAACCTCGCCTAAGCTTGCTCGAACCGAAGAAGGAAAAGAAACCAGGTTGGCCATTGGGTGAAAGAGGAACAAGGAGACCCACAACTTAGACTGGGAAGTTGCGGGGGGCGATCTCTCAGAAGATGGCGACAAATTGCCTTGCCCAATAACCCTTCAGTCCGTGGAGCCCTCAAACTGAAACGGAAGGTGGTGTGTAACTTTTTAGAAGTTCTGCAGTTCCTCTAAGTTAGCGAGAAGGTCCAACATGTTGGAAGGAAGGAACTCAAGAAACTGCAAAGCACCAGAAGGCAGGACAAGAAGCAACGGGTGGAAACTAACCAAAGAGAGAACCAACTTAGAACGAAGGAGCTATTTCCTGACAGCGAGAACCATTCATCGGGGAGGCTTTCAAGAAGAGATCGGACCCGTCATTTGTCTCAATGAGCGACGGTTGACACTTTTGACCTGCAAGCAGTTAAAAAGAGTCCAGTTGTACCAACCCAGGAACAATCGCAAACCCCTTTGCACAAATTAAGCAGGTAAAGATATTACAGGATCCACTTTCCACCTTGGTGCCAACCCAAACATCGCTCTTCTTAATCTCTGCAGAAGACACTTATAGGGCAGAGCAGAAAAGCCAGTTTGGGAGGAAGAAAAAAAACCAACAACCCACTCCTTTCTCTCGATTTTCTTCGGTGCATCTGCTCACGTCTCTTCCGGCTTGAAACCATCCGCTGAGATTTGGCAGAGAGGAACAACTCAACGCTCCAAAACCCTGCTTGTAAAATCAGGTTCATGGTGGTTGGTTCACCCGCTCAGTTGCAAAACCAGGAATCGCGGAGGGTCGTTGTTGCGGGGTAGGGGGGGGAAAGGAATCGTGGTGGACGCCTTCTCATAGAGAGCAACTTAACTCAAGAGAGAAATACTACCTCTCCTTCTGTGTAGAAAATATTGCCATATGATTTATATCCAGTTCCTTCTATTTTGGGGTGGGAGGACAAATTAATCATTATTTTAATTTGCAAGCCACTTTTATTATTTTTACCATTCAAGGCAGCCAATATATCTGACCCAGCTTCCTCCTGTTTTGCTCACAACTCTGTGAGGATTGGAACAAGAGTAATTGGTCCAAATCATCCAAGCTGGCTTTCCTGCCTAAGGCGGGATTCGAACTCATGGGTCTCCTGGGGATTGGTTCAAAGTCATCCAGCCACCTTTCCTGTCTTAAGGCGGGACTAGAACTCACAGTCTCCCGGTAGACTGGGATCAAACTGGCTCTGTCTTGTAGTGAGTCTATTTGATGGGGAAAGCCAAGCAGGGAAGAAACAGCACAGCGATAACTTGCTGAAAAGTTGCGCGTTGGCAATAGAATTTACTAACCCAGATTATTGCGATTAAATAACTTCCCCGGTCTTCTTTGGACTCAGCTCAAATCCTGGTGTCTGCATGCACCCATCATTATTCTGGAAACCCAACAGAAAGGATCTTTTATGGTTGCATCCTGCAATCTATTTTTTTTTTTAATTAAATCCCTAGTCAACTAGTTTTTTTTAAAAAAAGAAACCAATCAAAGATGGCTTAGGGTGACCCTCAACCATGTTTTCAAATTTTGCATGTGGGATTATACTCCCCCCCCCCCCCACAAAAGCTCAGTGCTTGCAAAAAAAAATCTGGCCATTTGATTAGATAATGCGAACATTTGGCTTTTCAGATATTTTGGGATGTTGGACTATTTTAAGGGAACAATAGTCTGCTCCCCAGGGCAGCTTTTCCTATTCCAAGAGGGAGGCCTCCTTCCCAAAACTGCTGTTTTCCCAATTTCATTTGAAAAGAAATGAAACATTCAAATGAAGAAATGAAATGTGCACGGTTCAACATCCGACTTGATTTTATTGTCCATTTCTACGTTTCGTTGGGTTTCGATTCTTGGCGTGGGTGAGTTTTGATTTAGGTATACACACGTACATTCTTTACTTCTCGTTCCTCAGCAGAGAGCGAAAAAAAACAACCCCCAACTGTGTCCTTCAGTGTTGGGAAGGGAAAATAGGTCCCACTTTTGCTTGAATATTGAATAAAATGTGAATATTTCATAAACAAGTGTCCACGTATCAAGAGCCACCATTTTTTTCTCTCCCCACACCCCGCCCCCAACAGCAATAAATACAAAAATATCACTCTGAAAAACCGGACACCGGTGCAAAAGGAAGCGTCCTGCTTTTAAAACAGAACAGTTATTCCCTCCCCCCACCACTTTTTTTGAGAACATGATGCTTAAAACACATTCATCCCTCCTGTATTTCTTCCCTCCATTTACTTGGCGTCGGAGCTACCCAGGCGCTAAAAGGGAAAGAAATGCAAATATATTGATTTCAAATACAAAACGGCTCACCTTACTGTCTCTCTCTCTCTC